GGGGGTGGGGGGGGGGGGGGGGGGGGGAGCTATGGGGAAGAGGATCTCTTAAATATGCAAGGCTTCCCTGAGAAGGTAGACCATGCCATTTGATCCAGGACCTAAGAGAGGTGAGGGGACAAGGCATATGCAGAAATCTGGAGGAAGGGAGATCCAGGGTGAGGGAACAGCAAGTACAAAGGCTCTGAATCAGGTGTGTGCCTGTCCCATTGGAGGAGTCCATATGGACCAGAGCCCTGTGTGAGCCAGAGGGCAAAGCCATAGAAAATGAGGTCAGAGAGAGAGATCAGCAGGGTGCACCGCCCTGCTGGGTGCACCTCCCTGCACTTCAATGGGCTCCTAAACTTTCATAACTATTACAAGACCCTATGTGCTCTGCCCCACCTACCTCCCTGGCTGCCTCTCACAACTGAAACCTCAGCCCCAGAATAATACTGAATTACATAAAAACACGTCTATCCAGAGAGTACACCTGTGCCCCTAGCAATCGCCACTCCACCGTTTGGAACACTTTCAGTGTCTCTGCAGGTGACAGGAGACAACACTTCTGTAATCCCAGCTTCTTACAACTGACATTTTCTCAGACACTCAGTTCATATAGACCAAATACCAAAACTGGTTCAGTAAGACTGTTTTTCTCCCCGTGGGTAGGTAGGATCCTCTTAAGGAAAATAAAAGTTGGTAGTGCAAAAATTAGGGAGTGGCACAGGAGATGGGAGTGGCATAGGGTAGGCAAGGGTGAGGTGCCTGCCGCAAAGGAGAATTGGGACATATGAACACAAGATACCAGAAAGGAGAAAAATATGTACATGAGAGCGAGCAGGTAAGTTCCACCAACTTACCCCCCTCCCCTTGCTTCCACACATACTCACTTTTCCCATCTTGCGAGAAAAGTTCAGGCTATATTCCAAGCCCCCCAGAAGGTGACCAAAAGGTCACCCATACTTTAAAGCCATTTCACAACTTTTTTGGCTTGTCTTCGAATCCTTTGCACTTCCTAACTTAGTGCTCTGCGTGTAGTAGGTGTTCAGTGAACTATTTTGTCTTAATTGATCAGGGTGCCCAAAAGCATATTCATTTTTTCTACATTTGTCCCTGAACTACCTCTGTTTCTAGAAAAAGGAAAAGAATACCTCTCCTGTCCTTTTTATTTCCTCCCATGACAAAACCCGAGATATACCATAATTTCTTGCATATCTAGTCAACTCGATTTTTATAGGTACAGTGCGTTGCATCTTGAAACATACCCTCAACCAGTGAAATTTTAATGTGCATAATGCATGCATAGAATTTGCTTAATTCCTAGAAATCCCTAGCTGTGTACCGAGAATAGAACCATCTGCAAGGTTTTCTCCACCCTCCCAACTTTAAGCCCTGTGAAACCACCCAGGCATTGGCGTGGTGTCGGCGAGATGCAAACGGCGCCCCGGCGCGGCTCTCCCGCTGCGCCCGGGGCTCACAGCGCACCCCCCTCCCCGGTCTTCCCCAGACCCGACGCCCTCCCCGGGGCGTGGCAGGA